AGCCGGGGTTGTCGACGAAAGGTCCAGCTGGACCCACTGGGGGCGAGATTGAAGCCGAAAGGTATGAAGAGGGCGCAAGCTCGGGCATGGTTGCGTTTTCTAATCGGTGGCTTCAATATTACCTTGGTGTGCTGGAGACCGATTCAGCACGATTTGCCCCCCACCACCTTGGACGGCCTCATCGCAGATTCGCGACACAGTCTGTGCAGAGTGCGCTGAAGCTCAACGGCCCCAGCACGATCAATGAGGAGAAGAACTGCGTGATCCTGATGCGTGCTCTCTTGAAGTCTCCCCAAGAATGCTTTCCGGGTCGTCAGGCAAGTAATGAATTCCTAAGACAGCTCTTTGTATAGTGCATGAGTTCGCGGCGGGTTGAATTCGGACGCTCAGAAAAAGGTTTGTTTGAGCATTGTGTACTTCGGTCGGTTGTTTGCTTTTGTTGCTTGGGTGCACCTCTTGGTTGAGGGGGTTTGTTTGCATGTTGCTCGTTGTCCAGTGCTGAGCCCAAGACACCGAACGACCTCCCAAGAACCTCTGGACACCAGGGGGGGAGGGGGGGAGGAGGGGGGCAGAAGGTCTTGATCTGTTGGGTTTTTTGTTTGGATTTTTTTGAATCTAAGTTACTGGTGGCATGGTCTGCTACCTGCACAAGCACGCTGAGGATCGATAGGGTCGCAGCCATCTGCTACAGGATTGTCACATGCAAAGTTGGTCGTTGAGTCGTTGGCCACAGCGACCCGAAAACCCTACGCGCTCTGTGCCCTAAACCGAATGTAACTCTCACAGCAGTTGTGTTTTGATGTTGTAGTCAATTGCTGTCTAGGCCAAATGCACAGTGGGCATGCAATGACTTGGTCCAACACTCGTTCCTGGTAATTTCAAGAGTCTTCAGTTGTCCAGAGGAGTTTTGCCATGCACCGTGGCTCGTCTGCTTGGCGGGTGGCAAAACGCCTTAGACCCTCATGTGGTCAACCTAGTATAGCAGTTCTCACGGATTTACAGCCCAATCCCTGCACAGTGGACGTAACTTCAGCGGCAAAAAAACCTTCAACCCTAAGCCCCAAACCCTACGGGTTTATGTCGTAATTAAGGTTGGGCTTTGCAGCGTAGTGTGCAAAGCATTCTCTCTGCCGTTACCCCCATGGAGCTTGGCTAGACGGGCGGCAACAACAAGACCCTAAGAGAGAGAGAGAGAGAGAGAGAGAGAGAGAGAGAGAAAAAAAGAGATAGAGAGAGAGACAGACCCTAAAACCTTAAACCAGAAAACCCTAAGCAATCAAGCCCTAAACCCTAAAACCCTAAAACCCTAAAACCCTAAAACCCTAAACCCTAAACCCTACACCCCTCAACCCACGGAGGCCAAGGAGGACCCGGCTTTGGGCAAATTCTTCGCCTGGGACCGCGTCGCGGACTTCTCCAGCTTTGGGGGCATCCGCCTTGAGGACCCACTAAACCCTAAACCCTAAACCGTTGGGATGCCGGGCTTTAGCGGGTTGATCGGGATTCGGGCTTAGGGCTCATAAGGTTTAGGGTTTAGGTTTTGGGGTTCAGGGTTTAGGGTTTGTTCTAGGCTTAGGGTTTAGGGTTTGTTCTAGGGTTTAGGGTTTAGGGTTTAGGGTTTAGGGTTCAGGGTTCAGGGTTCAGGGTTCAGGGTCGTGTCGTCACAGCCACGCAGTCACGGGATGCCAAGAAAGATCTCCCCCCGCCCCCAACTGAAGCTCCAGATTATGTTGGGCCCAAGAGCTTTCCCTGATGCCCTTGTAGGGTTTATAACCCCAAAATGGGGCTTTCAATAGGGTTTAACTGTAGGGTTTATAGTGGGTTTATGGGGAGCATAGGGCTTAGGGTCTCTTACCCTAAACCCTGAACCCTGAACCCTAAACCATGGGCCGGCCCTGCGACCCAGGACAACGTCCTGGTAACGGAGGCGGGCATCGAGAATTTCACGGTCGCACCCAGGCCAGCTGCAGTGTGATGCGGCCCGGGGGGTTGAGGGTTTGGGGTTTAGGGGTTTAGGGGTTTAGGGGTTTAGGGGTTTAGGGGTTTAGGGGTTTAGGGGTTTAGGGGTTTAGGGGTTGAGCGCCTGTGAGAGATGGGGTTTGGGGTTTAGGGTTTTGTCGGTTTTGTACGGTTTCAAAGGATTAAAGTGATTAAAGGGTTTAAGCGGTTTAGTTGCAGGGCGCCGGGTCTTTGGTTTTCTGCCCTGAAACCAACTCCCTATAGCCAACCAAACAACGCCACCTCGAAATCTCAGCGCACAGCAAAAGCACATCTGCCAACGCACGCGGAAAGGTTTTCATGCACGTGACCAGCCCACAGCATACATGCCGATGGCATGTCCTTATTTTCTTCTTCGTAGTTGAGTAGGCAACCTTTCACCGGTTTGGGTATATGCATATACATATACATATGTATATATATAATAGTAATAGCAATCATAATAATAATAATACTACCATGGACCGAGCTCCCGAAAGCAGGGGATGAAAAGCCGCAACACACAACTACAGTCATAGCCAGCCTGTGGGAGTGCTTTTTCTTCTGGCCACATATGTCATAGTACGGCACCCTCAAAATAAGGACCCCAAAAGGGACCCTAATGTAGAGAACTACCTGAGTACCAGTAGCATACATAGACTCAGAGTCGCAGACTAAGGGGCTTTAGGGTTTGAGGGTGTGAGGGTTTGAGGGTTTGAGGGTTTAGGGTTTAGGGTTAAGCCAGGCAACGTGCTTGAAGACCTTACGCCGGCTAGGCATACCCTTCCCTTCTTGGACGTCTGAGCATGAGAAAACACAAATGGGTGGTTGTCAACATGATGGTCCCTTTTTGGATCCCTTTTTTCATACGGCACCTGAGGATCATAATTTTGACCCCTAAACCCTAAACCCTAAACCCTAAACCCTGAACCCTAAACCCTAAACCCTAAACCCTAAACCCTAAACCCTAAACCCTAAACCCTAAACCCAAATAGAGCCCCCTCCACGCCAGGACTGTGGAGGAGGTCGAAGCGGTCAGGGCCTCAGCCCTGAGAACCCGCCAGAGATGAGCGGAAGAGCGTTTCTGCCTCTAAGAGATATGGGTTTAGGGTTTAGGGTTTAGGGTTTAGGGTTTAGGGTTTAGGGTTTACGAAATGGAAGTACGGGACCCCTAACATGGACCCCCCCCAAATAGGTAGGATTCCCTTATAATAAGGACCCCAATCAGGTACCCCGAAATGAGTTTCGGAAACCCCCAAATCGCCCGTTTCTGTCATGATGCCCTTAAGGTCTCAAAGAGCCATGTCACGCTTGGCTTGTCGCCCTGTCAAGCTCCCTGAACCTCACTTCTTGCTGCCGTGCACGGTCCGTTAGGGTTTGTAAGGCTTAGTGTTTAGGGTTTAGGGCAAAAATTGTGGTTTCAGGCACGTATCAGGATGTATCGGGTACGGCGCAGCGCCTTTTTGTAGGTTCGTTCAGCTGCATGGCTCGCACTGCACAACCTAAGCTGGCTACAAGCGCACTGCGTTGAGCTGGAACCCATGTGGACCATCTGAACCCCAAAATTGGGGTCATATACCCTGTACTACCATGTTTCGTATCCAGGCGTATGAACCATAAACCCTTTTGGGGTTCATGTGGTCCCCAAAGGAACCCTCTGATTCTTTCGATTCCGACCTCGATTCCTAAAGTTGTGTCAAGCACTAACGCTGACCAAGGTCATGCGTGGTGAAATTGCGGATGCGGCGGGCCTACTTTCATGGCGGTCTGGAGCCTAGCATAAAGCATGTGCTTGAGCCTCCACCCAAGCGTACTATAGGGGTCGAAATAAATGCTAATAGCATTCCCTTATGGTCCCTTTATAGTTGTACTATTATAACCCCCCAAAAACCCTTTTCTAATTATGAAGACCTCTATATTAGCAGCATCCTGAGTGTAAGGCAAGAGCAGCAGGAACAGGTGTCGCAGGAGGAGGAGGAGGAGGAGGCTGCTGAGCCGGATGAGTAAGTAAAGCTTGAAATTTGCAGGGGAAGCAGCCTTGCAAATGCTCCGAACACCATAATTTGGACCAACATGGCCACAACACGCTTGCGCAGTATGCGAACATCTTGGGCCCGAGTATGTGCCCTTAAGCTTCCCCTTCGGGTAATGAATGCTTCAAGACATACACATATAAATTGCTCATCGGCACGCGGCCGTTGTGCAGCTTCCGTAGTGTAGGCAAATTTTCCTCAGTTTCACACAGAGGACAAGGCCGGCAGCGAGCGGGCACACAAGAGCCGTCGAGGCGCACGATGTTGGCATGTGCGCCGTCTACGCGACGTTTCGACTCGATTATCCAGGTCAGTCCTAAGAATCCTTGCTAGCCCAGTTGCCCTTTTGCCCTCATTTTGGTGCCAGGCTCCCTTATAAAGTAGCCAACCCCCAAAAAAAGGGTACTCTTATGATAGCATGATTTCTGAGCTACCAAGAAGCGGATGAGGAAGCAGCAAGACTTATGTAGAGCCAATAGTGAACCGATTTCGACAGTGGAAAGCCGCTGGCATCCTTGCTTGGATTTTTGTTTGCGCTCTTTGCGCAGCATCTTTTCCGGGTTGCCTGCAATATGCACCTAGAAGCAACCCGCCCCAGCTCTAAAGCCTCCTTCCCGAGTCCATGTGGCTTGCCCCCCAAATAACCAAGAACCTGTGGTTTTTTGGGGTTTAGGGCTGGGGGTTTAGAGTTTAGGGTGTGTGCCTGCGGCTCATCCCTGACACGAGCTGCATGACGACATAGCAAACCCGGCAAAGCTTCAAGGCAAGGGTGGTCAAAATGAAGGGCTTGTCCCTCAACTCTCCACCTACACCCCTCCTGAGCCCTTAACTTCTCCACCTACACCCCTCCTGAACCCTTAACTTCTCAACCCAACCCTTTGCTACCCGCAGGGTGTTATAGACAGAAGTGGAGGCAGACCTAATCGAGAACAGGTTACTATAACCCTAAACCCTAAACAAAGTGATGGCACCCGACCTGCAGCCCCTCCGATGGAGCGAGCCGGCTCTTTTGGACAGGGCCGGCGGTGGCGCAAAGTTCCTGTGGTCCAAACCAAACAGCTTCCAAGACAGGGACCGAGGGTTTAGGGTTTCGGGCCCTAAACCCTAAACCCTAAACCCTAAACCGGGTTTAGGGAAAGTTTGGGGTTTAGGGTTTAGGGTTTAGGGTCCAAACCCAACAGCTTCCAAGACAGGACCCTTGGGTCTATCAGGACTTCCTGAGGGGAGGTGTAGTACTCTTACCAGGGGCCCGAAACCCGATTCGACACTACGATGACTTGCGTAGCGAGGTATGTGAACCAGAAACCCTTTGACTTTGAGGGTTCATTGGGTCCCCAAGAGTGTGGATGTGCGGGGGCATCGACGGGAGGATGTGTATGGCCACTCCGCCACGGTCGTCGACAGGCGAGTCCACCCTAAACCCTAAACCCTAAACCCTAAACCCTAAACCCTAAACCCTAAACCCTAAACCCTAAACCCCCTTAACCCCCTTAAGCCCCATGAAAAAAAAAAGTCGACAGGCGAGTCTGGGTGCTTGGAGGGAAGAACCAGCCGGGCAGACGCATCGCTGTGTGGCCCAGCAAGCACAGAGCATGGTGGACTAAAGGAGCCCTAAAATTGGGGGTCACGCACACCCTTAATGATATACAATTACTATAACAAGGTCATATGAACCATATACCCATATTATATCAACCCTATTATCAGGTAGTATGAACCATGAGCCCTTTTAGGGTTCACTTGGTCCCCAAGGAGGACCTGAGGGGAGTGTCGATTCCGGGACTCTCCTTCGGCTTCGGGCTTCGCACCGGGCCACATCTTCACTCAAACAGTGAGCCGAAGAAGTTTAGGGCTTGGGGCTTAGGGCTTAGGGCTTAGGGCTTACAAGGCTTAGGGCTTATAAGGCTTATAAGGCTTGTAGAGGGCTTATAGTAAGGCTTAGGGCTTAGGGCTCAGGGCTCAGGGCTCAGGGCTCAGGGCTCAGGGCTCAGGGCTCAGGGCTCAGGGCTCAGGGCTTAGGGCTTAGGGCTCAGGGCTTAGGGCTTAGGGCTTAGGGCTTGGTGAGAAGAAGTGAGCGAGAGGGAGGCTTAAGGTTCCCTTGGGAAACTGTAAAAGAGGGAGGCTCTTGGAACCTGCAGGGGCTCAAACATCTCCGAGAACCGGAAATGTCAGATGAAGTGTTAGGGTTTGGGGTTTCAGGGTTTCAGGGTTCAGGGTTCAGGGTCTTCTGCACCAACCCTGAACGACGGGGGAAAATCTTAAGGGTTTGGGTTTCGGCAGCCATCGAGTCCCTTGTAAAAAAAGGGGTTTGGGGTGCTTTTTGTGTCGACTACTAATAGCAACCCTACGAAAGCCTGTCGAAGAGAAGTCCCTCATGAGGGTTGAACGCACTGTAAACCCGAAACCCTAAACCCGAAACCCTAAACCCCAAACCCTAAACCCCAAACCCCTAAACCCCAAACCCTAAACCCTAAACGCTAAACCCTAGGCACAGCTTCGATCCCTCTGCCCTCGTGTGGTCGGACCACTCACCTGCAGATGGCGCCGTTGCGCCCACGAAGCGGTCATTGACCCCAGCGGTTCTCCTTGTTAAAGGCTTTAAGGGTTTAGAGTTCGGGGTTTAGGGGTTTAGGGTCTAGGGTTTAGGGTTCGGGGCTTTAAGGGTTTAGGGTTCGGGATTAGAAATCGGCTGTAAGGGTTTGGGGCAATAAAGGGCTTTCGGGGTATAGGGTTCGGGGTTAAAAAGGGCTTTAAGGGTTTAGGGCTCGGGGCTTTAAAGGTTTATATTCACAGGGTTCGGGGTTAGGTGTTTCAAGGGGTTGCTGACTTTGGAAGTTCTGGAGCTGATGGCAGAGATCCTATACCTATACCCTAAACCCTAACCCCTAAACCCTGGTCCTAGAGTCACCATGCCTCGAGACGAAGCCTCGGAGCCAAAAGCACTCGAGTTAAGCGTTATAGGTTGGGATGTTCCTCCCTATATACTAACAGCTCCTTGATAGGGATTACAATAGGGGTACTATATAATCCCCATTAAGGAGTTGTTAGCACACACGACACACACACACACACACACACACACACATACATACATACATACATAATATATATATATATATATGTATATTCGCACGCACCACACACAAACACACAACGCGCGCGCGCCACGCGCACACACACACACACACAAACATAAACACACGCACGCGCACGCACGCGCGCACACGCACACACACAGAGACTCACAGGCACACACACACACAGACAGACAGACACAGGCACACAGACAGACAGACAGACAGACAGACAGACAGACAGACAGACAGACAGACAGACAGACAGACAGACAGACAGACAGACAGACAGACAGACAGACCGACAGACAGACAGACAGACAGACAGACAGACAGACAGACAGACAGACAGACAGACAGACAGACAGACAGACAGACAGACAGACAGACAGACAGACACACAACACGCACCCACACACACACACACACACACACGCAGTCAGGCTTCACGACGACAAAATAGAAGCAGTCAAATGATGTGAAGATAGGAGCATATGAAATGAAAATACATTCGGAATTCCAATCAAAATGCAGTTATTTAGTTTTACAAGATTCTTCACGATGAAACCGTCTTGAGAATGAGTACAAAGATACGATCACTATTATTGGTGCATCAGTTGGACCGCTTCTTTGCTTGCAGGAATGTTACAACTTCCATTACCAGTTCTTTGCAGTCGCTTCAACGAGCAACATGCTTAGAATGCTTCAAGTAGATTTACAACGCATCTAGAGACAGGGAAGACGAGTAGTGGTGGTGCTAGTAGTGGTACTGGTAGCAGCAGTGGTCGTGGCTGTGCAGAGAGTTAAAAGTAGATAATTGTTTGGATACAACATGAGTTGTCCCAGGCAAGTTAACCAAAATTTAAGCTGTACGATCGCTAGTCAGCATCGCATGTGTGTGTGCACGCGTGTCGAGAGAGAGAGAGAGAGACAGACAAAAGGCAGGCAAGAAACCGGTCACAGAACAACTATAACATAGAAGAGGTGCGTACCTGTAGATACAGTACTTTTGAGAAATTTAAAGCCCGCTTTGGGCCATTGGCGCGGGGGGGGGGGGGGGGGGGGGGGGTGGGGTGACTGACGGCTGTACATACATACAAACACATGTGTGTATGTGTGTATACATATATATGTGTTCATGTGCAGACCGATGGTTCTCTTCCTCGATTCCTCCTTGTGTACGTATGTGTATATATATATATATATATATCTATATATATATATATATATACATATACATTATGAAAACCATGCGACGCATATCCTAGTCCCTAAACTCTAAACCGCAATGTTTAGCGCTTCTCGCGTATCTCATGTTTGTTGCTTCTGGGTGGAAGGGCATGTAGGTGCGCAGCCGACTCCACAGCTCGACCCGAACCTAGTTTTGTCCTAGTAGTAGAGTAGGTAACCTTTAACCCTTGTGGTTTAATATAACCCCCTTATCATCCCAAAGGTTTGCCTTTAGTTCCCCCAGGTTACTGGACAACTAAGTTTTCGATCGTCGTCATCATCGTACCAGAGTCCCTGCGGAGTGGTTCCTCCAGCTTTGCGGGTGCCAGACAAAAACTTTCTAAACCCTGAACCCTAGATCCTATGCGGCGCCTAAACCCTGAACCCTATGCGGGTGCCAAAAATGCCCCTACAAACCTTAAGCTCTATCTTCGGCACGCAGTTTAGAGAACAGCTCGGGGGTTCCGGGCGCGACATGAGGTGGGGACACTCCGTTTGCGAAGCACCTGGAGCCTTGGATGCCTCGGTCGTAGGGTTTAGGGTTTCGGGTTTCGGGTTAGGGTTTAGGGGCTTGTTTCCAGCAACGGTTGCTGGGCTCTTTGTTTATGTCATGCCCAGCGAAGTCTATAAAAGTCTAGTTCAAAGACGGCATCAACTACACTGTGCCCCTTAAACCCTAAATACTTGCATAGCAGATGAAAAGCCAGACAGTCGCTGTGAAGGGGCCTGGCTCCTGACATAAGCCCCACCCCCTCGTCCTTCCCCACCCTTACGTTCAAGGACGCGTGCTGCTGGTAGTCGGGGGCTTCGACACAAAGCATAACCTCCGTGACACTTGGGCCTACTCTACAGAGGACTGCTTGGGGTTTAGGGTTTAGGGTTTAGGGTTTAGGGTTTAGGGTTTAGGGTTTAGGGTTTAGGGTTTAGGGCGGCACTGCCGTGCTTCAACGGATCGGTCAGTCTGATGCCAGACAGGCTGTATACTATGGGCCTGGTGAGGTTCGAGATGTGGGGGAGAGACGGAACTGGAGGTTAGAGCATTTTCTGGGGGGGTGTTTGGGGTTCTCCCTGAGCTTCATGACTGAGGGTTGCTGCGGCTTTAGGTTTACTTCTAAAGCCCTCACAACCTTGATGCTTTGGTCCAAGACCTTTCGACCCTGATGAGCCTCAAACATGCCTACCAGTCCGGACTTAAGGCGATGTTTCACACAGCAGCGAAGTAACTTTCAGCATCGCTCAAAGGTACATCGCTCAGCCCTATGTCGGAAATCTTTGTTCATGTTCACATAGTGTGCAGGGAGGGACGGAAGAAGACTCCTCAGCCAAATGGCGAAGGGTCCACTGCGATGCCTCTTCGAAGGAGGGCGTGTTCATGGAGCTTTGCGATGACCTCCAAGTCTTCGGCGCCTACCACTCTGTGGTCTTTGAACGGACGCCGAGACAGTGGAACTCTTTAAGGAGCTTCCTACGTAGAGTTTTGGGATTCTGTGTTTTCGGCCTGGAGATGGGAACTTGCTTTTTGTTTGGTGGAGGGCACCGAAGGCATGGACATGGGACGGACATGTGGTACGGCATGCTGCGCGGTTTAAGCTTGTCAGGGCTGAGGAATCATCCGAAAGTGTAGGCACCGAGAGGAGCTCATGTACAATCAGCCTAGACATGCTTTGCGCGCTTCGCGGAGTAGGCAAGAAAGAGCACAAGCAGAGCTCCAGTACACTTTGCGCATCCCCAACACATCGTCACAGACAATGCCAGGCTAATACAAACCCTTCTCGCCGCGTGACTTTTTTGGCACATCCTTAGCCCGTACAGGTAAGTCTTCTTTGTGGTGCTTTACTGTAACTTTACATCTTTAGCCTTTTTGGGTTTATTGGGTTTCTTAATAAAGCAGCTAAAAGTTTGATTTTTTGCTACCCTCCTAAGTGCAGCCAAGTCTTGGCCTTGTCGCTTTGCATTATGGCTCGCCTAGCTCACGCAAGAGCAGTTCTGTCATTGAACTCACCTTCCGCTATCAATGTTAATCACGTACTGATAACATTTGATCGTTCAGTGATTCTGATGCAGACTGTGCTTTGCAGTCCCATGCACGGGAGGAACGGCCCCTGACGCTATGTAATCCCGGTGCTGTTAGTCGTATACCCTGAACCCTAAACCCTAGACCTAAGCCCCAATTTAAAGGCCCGAAGCAACCAAGCCCAGGAAAAGCAGCCGGGCTGTCCTCTTCGGGGGCCAGTGCTGCGTCAACGGGCCCTACGAGTACTTCCGTGGAGTCTCATGTCCCTCCTTGGAGTGGTTTAGGGTTAGGGTTTAGGGTTTCGGGTTTTAGGGCTTAGAATCCCCAGAATCGACCGGCCCTTTTCATATGCCTGCACTCTGAATTTTGCTGTTCTGGTTTTCCCGTGTTTCTCAATCGCTTCGTCTTCTGCAAGCATGCCTTGGCATATCGATCGATGCAAGTAAGGATTCGGGTGCATGGTTTAGGTAGGGTTCAGGGTTTAGGGTTTAGGGCTTAGGGCTTAGGGCTGAGGGTTTAGGGTTTAGGGTTTAGGGTTTAGGCCAGGGTTCAAGGGTTTAGGGTGGTGCTGACATGGGCTGAAAAGTTTCCACCCCGCAACAAAAGCCTCCTCCAAACTCCGAGCCTGGAGCTACTTACTGTTGCCGATACGATCTCCCGGGATGGGTCTACAAGGAGGGGCCCCCTTCAGTTAGTAGTTAAGGGGCTTATAGCCGAATTTAGGATCCTTATAACCCAATTTAGGGTTCTTATAACTCTACTTATAACTAGGGGGCCCCTCCTTGTAGTAAGCATAGTATGTATTCATTCATTGCCGACTCAGACCCCTTTGTTGACAGCTTCACTTTCATCCGGTGTGGTTGCTTTTGCGGGGACGTTTGTATGACAACCAGCTAGGTGCCATTGACTGTGCAGCAAAGCGCATCCACCACGGGCAAGGTTCATACCCTGCAGTTCCAAGAAGATGACGATGACGACGACGAAGGCTTGCTCAGCCCCGCTTCAAAAAATCCTTAAGCCAACCCCTCTAGTCCCCCAACATCCCTTTCCGAAGCGCCTGAGAAGAAGTGGACAACAGGTAGAAGCCTTATGCCTCACACCTCCGGCATCCCCCGTAAGTCTCAGAACAAGACGCCGGAACGCTTTCAACAAAGCCAAATACTTACTGGCTCAAAACCCCAACTTTTCAACTTTTGGGCTTCTTAGAAGGCAGTTTATTCTTAAAGTTTCAACTTTTATTTCCTGGGCTTTAGGGTTTAGGGTTTAGGGTTTAGGGTTTGGGGTTTAGGGTTTAGGGTTTGTAAGAATAGATTTCCCTTTGACCAGGCTGGAGCCCGTTGCCCACCGAAGGGCCTCATCCGTGCCCAAGGGCTCAGCACAGCGCGGCCATCCGAGGACGCCTATAGGGTTTAGGGTTTAGGGTTTAGGGTTTAGGGTTTAGGGTTTAGGGTTTAGGGTTTAGGGTTTAGGGTTTAGAAGACGTGTTTGGAGCTTTGAGGTTAGAGGATTCTGATTACGTAAAATCGTTTCGGGCTAGGAAATATAGATTGGGATGTTCTCCTTTGCACTAACTGTTGGGGGTACTAAATCCCTTTTAAGAATCATGACGTGGCATGAACCATGTTTCGAACGTATTTGGAACTGCCATCCCCGGTAAATCCTTCCGAACATGCCTGCCCTTGCTGCAGGAAGCGGGCAGGCTACAAAGGGAATTCTTCGGAACCATAGAGAGGTTCTTCATAAGCCCGCTTAACGCCACATCAAATATTTGAAGTCGCGGGCATTGCAGAGTGCGTTCGACTACCGAAGGCCGTCAGGGCTTTAGGCTTTAGTCCTGGAGGTTAGCGCTGGGACGTGGTGGGATGCTTGCACAGTTGAGGCCCCCAAAGAGCCCAATATTAGAATAGGAAATGGAATATCTCTCAAGTCATGTTAAGGATCCCGATAGATTCCAAGGTATATCGGTATGTCCCTGAATTTATGGGGCTTTCTGGGCCCGTGTTTATGTTAAGGTTAGCGGAGGGAGGGTTTGGAGCTGAAGGGTTGTTTTTCTGAACGGAACGTCAGATTGACTCCAAAATTGGGCTCGAACTGCCATTGCTGTCATGTGCTGTCATTTGCTGTCATTTGCTGTCGATACTAAAATGCAGACCCTACATGGGCACGCGAGGGACTCCAACGGGGATAACGTTCCCCCCCCGCTCCCCACGCCATCCCCGACATTCACATCATGTATGGCTTGGGGAATGAACACAGGTTGTATAGGCTTTTCTTAGCTGTCTGGGCTACAGGTCTGTAGTTCTGTCTCACCGCAAAGGTCTCAATGTCAAGTCTCACTGTCAACAGTCACAAGCCACCAGCACAAGTTGCATGTCACAATCTAGGCAGGCCCTTGGGGCATTCTACATTTTCCCTTGCTGGGTTGAAGCGGCTCATATTCAGGAATCAATCCTAAACCCCGAACCCTAGACCCTAAACCCTAAACCCTGAACATTTTTCCGAGAGTTTTAAAGGGCCATCCTAGTAATGCAGTCCAGGATGCGTCATGGTGATCTACGGTGGCGCCAATGACGTGCGGCAGTCCTTTGCGTAAACATGAACAGCATAGGCGTCGGAATAATTACTAGTAGAATTCCCTTGCTAGGATGGGCTATTAAATTAGGCCTTATAATCCCCAGAATCCACAGAATACGGTTGGACAAGACTTCAGCCCATGACATTGGAGACTTGAGCCGGAAGTGGTGGGAAGCTCGGTGGGAAGCGAGGATCTTGGTACATTGTTGAAGTGTTCTGATGACAGTAAGCAGATCCCCATGGGTTTTAGGGTTTAGGGTTTAGGGTTTGGGGTACAAGTTGCAGCAGCTGAACATAAGCCACATTTGGCCCATTTGTGTCGCTCGAGGTTCAATGATGTTTGGCTCCTGGACCTTTCTGACTGCACCTGGACAGAAATGCGCCCAGATGAGAGGCGCTGACTCCAAGCCCAGCCCCTAAAGGCCCCAAAACCCCAAGAGTGAAATATTGACGGGCTCCATTGGTCAAACAGGGTGTCGGCACAGTTGTACTCATGTGTTCACAGTGTTGCTTGTGAGGCATGAGCACATGTTACACAGCCTAGATCAGAAACCCCGCCCGACCTCTTGAATCCTCCCGCCAGTAGCCCGGCCTGCCTTGAGTCAGGCACAGTGAGCCGGCCCCACCTGTCGAGACGCGAATCGAGCAGCAGAATTTCCGGGCAACCCGGCTGAGTGTCTTCGGATGCATGAGAGGTGGCGATCACTGTGGCTCCGAGCCAGAAGCCCAGGGTCTGTAGCTGCGCCTTTTGCGACGTAGGGTTCGTAAAATGTCCATTCTCTTTGCGACAACCCCCCTCCAGCCCCTCCTCTGAAGCCGGGCGCGGATGCCTCCCAACCCCTACGAGTGTGTGTGGAACGGAAATCACCGAAATCCGCCGGATGGAGCACCAGGCTGTGGTAGGCTTTCTGGGATTCTCCGGGATTCTTGGGAATCCCCTTTTTTAATTTGTTGGGGTACTGTAACTCCTAAGAACCAGCGAAAATATGAATTATTGCTAGGGTTCCAAGGTCGGTATAGGTTTAGGTTTAGAGGTTCAAAAGGGTTCATGTCAGGTGAAGTCCTGCCGGAGTATTCTCTCACTCAGAGGCATGTACCTTGGCTTTTTCAGTCCCGGCAACATCGAAGGCAGAGCTCAAGGTTGTTGTTTGCATGAACCCTAAATCCTAATCCCTAAACCCTAAACCCTAAACCCTAAACCCTAAACCCTAAACCCTAAAGAGTAGTCGATCCTTCTGTTCTCGCGTGCTCAGACTTCCGCGATAGGTGTCTACTGTCATAAGCATCCTGCTCGTGTGCATTCGTTTTGAGAGTCTGGGGTCGTGTGCCTCCTGCGTGCTTTCCGTCTTCCCGGCCACCCCCCTCCCGCCCACCCCCCCTCCCCACTCTACTTTTGAAAGCACCCCCCACACCCCCCCCCCACCCCCCGGTCGGGGTTGGTTTAAGGTTGAGGTGTTTGTTTGCTAGGATTAAACATGATTGCTCGTAAATTTAATAGGGTTCTAGTGAATTTAAAGAGAAGTTCTTGGAACTCCTATTTACTGGGAATCACATTAAACATTGAGAAATTCTTAGACTCCTGCTTGTTGGGAAATCATAGTAGATATCAATAATAATCCCAGGAAATAAGCATATAACCTTGAAACAACCCGGGGGGGCCCCGAAGGAGGGGTTGTTGTGGAGGTGGGGGGGGGGGGGCCTTGCAAGTCGGAGAGTGTGAGAGTTGACAACCTGCAACCCAGTACACAACATACTCCCCAACCCCTGCAGTGCAGTTCAACCAGCTGTGCGGGAACCCTAAACCCTAAACCCTAAACCCTAAACCCTAAACCCTAAACCCCTAAACCCTAAACCCTAAACTGCCCAACAAAGGCAGCTTCTGGTGCTTGGCCGGTCTCGGAAGCCTGTCACCGGCCGGTGGGCCCTGTACGCGCTGCTTGGTAGCTACTGGTATACCAGATTTTCGCGCGTGAGGAGGATGGACGGGTTTGGGGCTTAGTGGGTTGGAGGACAAGTCCTACCAGCACTAGATCGCATCCGAGGTTTGACTTGCACACCGCATGCTGGAAGGCGGGCCGACGTAGGAACACGTTAGACCACACGACTCTTCTCCATTTTGCAGAGCAGACCTTTGGAAACCCCCACAAGTCTCCTAAACCCAAAACCCCAAAACCCTAAACGGAGCGTTTTCTCGTCCCGAGCAGGCGTTGCCAGCCCAGCAACTGGCCCTCTGGCGCGGCAACGCAGCTGGCTGGGTGACGAAGCTGGACGATGGCAAGGAGGAGTCGCGGCTCCACTACTTGGAGGTTCATGGTACTTATGAACCAATCATAACTGTACTTATCACTGTACTTATAAACCATCTTAGGGCATTTAAGAGGCTCATAAGTGGGTTAGAAGTACAGTTATAATTGGTTGATAAGTACCATGAACCTCCAAGTAGGTACCCCAGGGTCCCCCAAAAAACAACCACATAAACATAAGGATCCTACTGTTGGGGTTTCAGGGCCCCTAAATCCTAACAGGGGGATTTCTGAAAACCATGCTTGTAGAATCCGCATGTTTATGTGGTTTTTTGGGCCCCTAATGTTGTGTAGTACTATCGGGGCGGCATCAGAATTGTCGGTTTGGATCCATTCTTAAATTTAACATATCAATAGGGATGATGTGGGAATAATGCCGGGCATCCTTGAGGGGCCGAAATGAGGAGCCTCGTGCCTGTGAGGTGCGGCTTGTTCGGTTCAGAGTTTTCTTTCTGGACCCTGATAAACCCTAAACCACCCTAAACCCTCAACCCTCAACCCTCAACTCTAAAGTGCCCGCATGAAGACCGTTTCCCGAAACCCCTTTTGCGAGCGTGAGAGTCGCTACCCTACAAGGCCCCAAACCCTAAACCGTAAACCCTAAACCCTAAACCCTAAACCCAACAGCCCAGCGGAGGAATTATGGGTCCACGGCGGCCATCGTGAGCCTGGCAGTGGCCTGGAGAAATTCTTTGGGAACCCTATGGGGTTTAGGGTTTAGGGTTTAGGGTTTAGGGTAAGCCCTAAAGCTTCACTTCGGGCTTGCGGGTCCTGTCTTTGGGATAGCTTCCTGGCCTAGAAATGCGACCACGAAGATAAACCCTCAACCCTCAACCCTCAACCCTCAACCCTAAACCCTACACACCTCCCCCCCCCAAAAAAAAAAACACAGAAACAAATAAAGAGCTGAGATGGCAAGGCCGAGAGGCTGAACAGCTGGTGCTTCCACTGCACACTGGGCCGACGGCCTTGCTTCAGCGCACCATCCGCGGCATCCACGCTCCTTCGTTTAGGGTTTAGGTGTTAGGGTTTAGG